ATCTGTGTTAGGCTGTAGGCTGTTGGGTCCTAGAGGATTGAGGGGAACAAAAGTGTCGAGGGCAAGGGAAAATGGAGTTCGGACAATGCTTGTCATTTCTTTATTTTCCACGAAGAGCTGCTGGAGGTGGGGTCCTGCGTTCTGTTACCTGCGGCATCATCTTCATGCTGTTAGGGCCGGTGGCCATAGCTGGGAGCCTGCTCATGTTGTGACAGCGCTGGGCATCAGACCCTGAGCGCTTTGAGGCGCCTCCTCTTACCTGTGCTGTTGGGGATAGGCAGCGATCCATTGAAGCTCCTCCTTGCAAGTGTTTGTCGAAGTGGCAGCCATCTCCTTCTTCTTCAAGTTGGAGTTCTTCAAAATCCAGGGAGCTACCCTCCCCTGTTGAGCGGACACTTCCTCTGCAGTGGGCATTAGGTTTGCACTGCTGAGTGACGCAATGGGTTCAGCTGGGTTGGTGGCGATTGGTGGGTTTGATAGGTTGGGTGCAGGCCTTCGCCATAGCTGTGAGCTCGAGGTTGGGAGCAAGAAGAAGTCTCTCTTACTTGACGAAACTCTGTAAATAGTTGGTTCGTGGATGTTGATAACGTGTTTGGGATCCTGGAGATTTTGTGCTGCTGATTGAACTTGGGAGTGACGGTTAGAATTGAATTAGAGACCGCCGCTGAGTTCCAAATTCGCAGGAATAACAGCTGACTGCAATCTGAACGCAGTGCAGATCGAAACTGCAAAAGAAACAGGTGCCGGTAGCGTTACCGGTGTCGGCCAGTCGTCGTTTAGGCCTGACCACGCGAAATTCGAAATACCTTATTCTTTTCAAGAGGCCCCCTTCAGACCTCAGGTCACCTTGGAGCATGGAAAATACCCTTAAGATAGCTGGTCGCCCCCGTATATCTTTTTTCTCTTTTCCCCCTAAGATAGCTGGTCGCCCCGTATATCTTTTTTGAGACAACTCTGCCGGTGACCGCTGCACAGTTTCTAATTAGCAGGAATAACAGTCCACTCCAAGCTTGGGCGAAGACAAGTTCGAAACTCCAAGCTTGGGCGAAGACAAGTTCGAAAGTGCATTATCATTAATTTTTTTTTAAATCTCGGCCGTGGCCGAGGCATCGCGGCCGTGGCCCAGCCACGCGACGGGATGCTCTCTCTTTCTTTTTTTTCTTTTTCCTTTTTTTTACCTCGGATGTGGCCGAGACATCGCTGCAGTGGCCAGCCACGCGACAGTGCTTGGAAAAAAAAAAAACAAAAAAAAACGAGAGTGAATCTTCCGCTAGAACATGGAAAGCTGCACCGCGAAATTGCATTATTCGTCGATGCACCCGCCCTCCTAACACGACCAAATTCGGTCGAAAATGATCCGGAGTACGTATGACGTGTGCCAAGCGCGACCCTTTCAAAGGAAAAACAGTGACCTTTCTCGGCCCTGCTTTAGGGCATTCGCACAGTATGACTTCCTTGACGGAATCTAGACGTGATTGCGACTGGATTGGGTCGAGGAAAGATCAGCCTTTATGGGACTGCGTGGGTTCGGATGAGTATTCCATGATTGCCGTCAGGTTTGGCTCTTCGAAACTCAAGGTGACTCGACCCTTTTTTTTTCCATATAATTCTTTTATAATAAGAAAGACAGAGCGAGGGACCTGTGATAGGTAAGAAAAAAAGGAAAAAAAAAATTGCATTTTTTTTTTTTTTTCTCGGCCGTGGCCGAGGCATCGCGGCCGTGGTCCAGCCACGCGACGGGATGCTATCTCTTTCTTTTTTTTTTTTTCCTTTTTTTTACCTCGGATGTGGCCGAGGCATCGCGGCAGTGGCCAGCCACGCGACAGTGCTTGAAAAAAAAAAAAAAAAGAGAGGGAATCTTCCGCTAGAACATGGAAAGATGCACCGCCACGAGGCCCCAAGGATGACAGGCAGAGGTTGTTGTCAGCCCGTGTATCTCGTTGGGCCCCTGTATCCCCTTTGCACAAAAGACAGAAATCATGGCGCTGTATCTTTCCATGTTCTAGCGAAGATTCACTCCCTGTATCACTCCCTGTATCTCGTTGGGCCCCTCTGCGTTTCCGGTAGGCCGTCGAACGCATTTTTCCTTGCACTTTCGAACTTGTCTTGGCCCAAGCTTGGAGTTTTGAACTTGTCTTCGCCCAAGCTTGGAGTGGACTGTTATTCCTGCGAATTCGAAACTGTGCAGCGGTCACCCACGGAGTTATTTCATCTTTTTTTCTATAGGCAGTCTCAGGCGCACAGCTCTCGAAACCAGGGCCAACCGTGCAGAGTTCAAAAACAGTCCCAACCACGCAGAACTCGAAAAACCCTCGTCAAACGACTGGTCACACCAGTGCTCCGCCGCAGGCAGACTCAGCCACGCAAAACTCGAAAACTGACCCAGCCCCCCACAACTCGAAAGCACCCTCGTCGAATGCCTGGTCACACAAGTATTCCACTGCGGGCAGACTCAGCCTCACACAGTTTCAAAAACAGACCCAAATCCACAGAACTCGAAAGGCCCTCGTTGCACTGTCTGGTCACAGTAGTATTCCGCTGCGGGCAGAGTCAGCCTTACAAAGTTTCTAAAATAGACCCAAATCCACAGAACTTGAAAGGCCCTCGTCGCACTGTCTGGTCACAGTGTCACACTACTATTCCGCTGCGGGCAGACTCAGCCTCACAGAGTTTCAAGAACAGACCCGAATCCACAGAACTCGAAAAACCCTCGTCACACTGTCTGGTCACACTGTCTGGTCACACTAGTATTCCGCTGCGGGCAGGCTCGGCCTCAGAGAGTTTCAAGAACAGACCTGAATCCACAGAACTGGAAAGACACTCGTCGCACTGCAGGCATTCCTCACAAAATGCGGGAGCTCTTTTTCTTTTATAAAGTTGTTTATCCAATTGTGGACGAGGCGCGACCGACCGTCTGGGTCACTACGGCAAGGGGGGAGGGCGCGAGGCCAGGTAGCTCCTCACCTAGTTGGGAAGGTCTTTGCTCGGGACACTTAGATAGTCGGCCACTGGAACGGTCCCACCGTCCCCCTAGTCAAGGGAAGACAGACTTTCCCTCTCTCTCTCTCTCTCTCTCTCTCTCTCTCTCTCTCTCTCTCTCTCTCTCTCTCTCTCTCTCTCTCTCTCTCTCTCTCTCTCTCTCTTTCTCTCTGGTGCTCTCTCCTCTTGCGACCTGATAGTCAAAAGAAACGGCAGCGACTTTCTCCTGAGCAAAGCCGCGGGGAATCGAAGTGTCTGGGCCGGGAGCTTAGCCTTGCCGAACCCCGACAGCGACCTCCGACGTACCTCCTGTTGAGACGACGGACGTACCTGAAGACGTCGATGCCTCTTTCTCCGCCGAAGACAGGTGCGAGCACCTGCAAGATAGATTCATACCTCTCTTCTTCCGACTTCCCCTCCTCTCTCTCTTTCCTTTCCTCTCCCCTTCTCCCTTTTCACTCGGGTGCACCCAAATGCGTTGATGGGTTTCCAATGCTTCTGTGAGGCGCGCACTCCCTGCTGCCGAAACACTGGTCAGGAGCCCTCCCCTCGTCGCGGAGCTCACCGTCTGGACCGCGGCCGCACTGCCCCCTCCACCGGTCGCTGAGCTGATGGTTCACGCAGTCGAACGAAAAAGGCGACCGTGCAACCTCTTTGTGAGACTCCTCACGAGGCTTCACAGCCCGCCCTTCGCTCCAGGCCCCTCTCTCCTTCTCCTCCTTCCTCTCGCCTCCTCTTTGTCTCCTTCTGCCTTGCCCTCTCTCACTTGGATCGCGACACTTTCGGCCGACCGATTACACCCCCCCCCGGTGCTTCCTTTCCCCTGGCCCTTCGTCCGCTGGCGCTGCCGGACCGTGTTCGTCGACGGTTGCCGTGGTTCTCCCTTGCCCCTGGCTATGGTCGCCCTCCAAAGAGAGCGCTCCCCCTTCGGGCCTTCGCCCTTCAACCTCTGACCTCATGACAGCGACTGATCGCTACACCCCCGGAACTCCGCGCTCTCCGCTGTGCACACCATGCATGGGCGACTACTGGTCAGAAGTGTGCCCGAGGCTTCACCTTGTACAGGGGAATCTGACAACGCATGCCGCGCTCAGAGGCGGGGGGGGCGGGCGCAGCGCTACCGGGAGCGCTGCGTCCCGCCCAGGGTTGGGACACCGTGCGGATAGGCCATGGTGAAGGTGTGCGGCAGCGATGGCGACCATCTCCTCTCTCAACCAGGCGCTTTGCGCACGCGCAAGTGACCGGAGGCGCTTGTCAACACCACGTCACAGGTTGATGTGGCAGAGTGGGCTAACTCCCGTTGGTTTTTTGCTTCTGGGAGTTCCACGTTCCGCTCCATTGCCGCTGCGTTTTTGCCCGTGGCATATGGCCTGAGAGGCGTTGGCTATGTCGACGCCTGTGGAGTACAGTGGAGTCAGCCCTTGGTAAACTGAAGTGCAAGTGCAGTGGCGACTGCAATCATAAGGAAGTGGGTGCGTCAACAAAATTAGGGCGCTGCTTGGCATCGACAACGGGGCACTGAACATCACCGGCACCATCATCAATAGGTTGCGGTTTGACACCGGCATCATTCGTCATCATCGTCATTATCACCGTCATCATCAATAGGGCGTGTTTTGGCAGCATCATCACGAGAAGGGTTGTCGTCAACATCACGCGTCATCACATCATCAGGCGGCATCACCATCATCATCATTAGGGTGCGGTTTGATACCGTCATCATTCATCATCATCATCAGGGTGCTGCTCGTCATCATCGTCACTATCACCGTCATCATCAACAGGGCGTGGTTCGGGAGCAGCATCACGGAAATGGTTTGTCGTCAGCATCAAGCGTCATCACCATCGTCAGGCGTCATCACTGTCATCATCATAAGGGTGTCGCTCGTCACCAACATCAAGGTATGGGTGATCATCATCACCCCGTCTTCATAGGGCGCCGCTAAGGTTGCTCGTCATCATCATCATCATTGTCATAACGTCAATATCATTGCCATCATCAATACCTCACCCTCATAAGGCGCTGTTGGCGAAGTTTGTTCGTCATAGGGCGTTGCTTACCCTTATCATCATCATCACTAGGTTATTATCCAAGGTGTTCGTCATTTGCACCATCTCCATCCTTTTGTCATCACAGGGCGCTGGGCGTCGTCGTCACCATCATCATCATCAGCAGCATCATCATCATCAGCATCGACATCATCATCATTATCATCATCATTGACATCATCAACATCATCAACATCATCATTATCATCATCAGCATCATCAATTTGCAACCATAGGGGGCTGTTGGTACTGTTCTTCGGCACGATCAGCATCATCATTCCGACATTACTATCATCATCATCATTTTGTCATCATTAGGTGTTGCTGTTCAAGGCCTTGTTTGTCTCTCACATCAGTAGGTGAGTTTGGTCGTCATCATCATCATCTTCAGGATGATGTTCATCACCATCTGCAAATCCAAAAAAAAAAAAAAAAAAACTTACATCTACCTCTCTCTCCAACTTTTAGAAATTTCCAGTTCTGCCATATATTTTAGGGATTCGATCTGATGGATGTGCTTCAGTCGGGATAGGGCTTCTGTGGTCACGGTTGGGAGTCTTGGGGGAAGGGTGGGGGTGGTATTGGGGAGCCCTACTCTACAGGGGCGCTGCAAGGTGGGAGGTTGCTGCCCTGTCGAGGGTGGGGCAGATTTGTGGTTTGTCCTTATCTGGGGCCGGGGTGGGAGGGTTGGTCGCCTTCAACCCCGGCGGGGGCGAATAGGGACAATGGGAAGGCGAAGGTATCCTCTAGGAGGGAATTGGCTGCCTTTGCGGAAGGGGGGGAGGAGGGGGTCTGTTCCAGGTTGGGGCCGAGGAGGTTTTCCTCGGCAGTGACAGCATGGGACAGTGGGCAGGGGAAAGTTTCTCTGTGACGTGACTTTTGGAAGCTTCTTGGATTGGATGTCTTCTGTTATGCCTGGTAGTTTGAAGAATTTCTCAGGTCCTTGAGGGTTTGCCGGTGGGTTGAACGAAGCTGCACTGGATTTAGACTGTTATATTCAGGATTTGTGGCTGTCCATTGCCAGAACGATGCTGGTCGGAGCTGGGGTGATGCCCTGTAGCTTGCCGAAGGTGAGGGCATGAGGCCTTGCAGAGAGATCTGGGGATGCTATACGGGGGGCATCCTAAAGGACAGTTGGGGGTTGCTGACACAGGACGACACTGGCCGGAGCTGGAGTGAGTAGCGCTGCTCTGTAACCAAGCAGTTGGGGGCGTGAGGCCGGGTTGAGTTTGTCTGAGAATAAGTCAGTTTCGGTGAGCTTTGTTAGGATCTGTTGGAAATCCCTTAGATACTTGAGTTTTTTGGAAAACTATTGTGGGCTTCAGGAGGTGCCTAGAATCATTGATATAGCATAGTCTCTTTTATAGACTAATCACCATCATCGTCATTATCATCATCATCATTATCACATCATCAGAATTACTATCTTACACTTTTCTAATCATGAGGGATGCTGAACCCGGTTCTCAGCATGTTCGGTTCGGTTACTTCGGGTAGACTGTGAGGACCCCGGCCTCAATCTTCATTTGAAAAAAAAAAAAAGCTCACCTTGTACACATAAAAAAAAAAAAAAAAGAATTCCCTCAAATAGAGCACTCGCCTTATATTCGAGGAAACTCGAGTAGAAGGCGTGTAAGCTCAGTTTGAGTCTAGAATTCGACACCCTCCCTATCCAGGTTAGTTTAGGTCTTCCTTGGCCGATTACGCGCGCACTCCTTCCCGTGAGCCACTCCACGCGTCACTCCGCAGCGTACGTTCGCCCGATTCGAATGCTCTCCCAAAAAAACTTTTCCCCCCCCTTTTTATACTTTTTCTCTTCCTTCTTCAGTGCTAGTTCCCAGATCGAAGTCACAGCCCCTCTCACAGTTTCCTTCGATTTTTCTCCGTTCCCATCCTCCACTCCCAACGACCGAGCAGCCAGTTTTTGAAGCTCCGAAAATTTTTATTCTTCCCGCCTTTGTTGTTTCCGCCTGTCACGACTTTTTCTTTCAATGACATGTGACGCGCACCTCACGCCCTGCGCTGTCTTTCGTTCGGAGTGCTGGATGTGCGAAAAGAGGCCTAGATGGGGTTTGCCAAGGATTTTTGGAAATTGAGTGTGGGGACACAGACGGAACTGAAATCCCCCGTGTTGGTCCGATGAAGTAAGCCGGTTGCTTTCGCGCGTCGCAGAATGCGCGCGCGGGCACGGCGCAAAAAGAGAAAAATCCAAATTTAATCCAAAAAGTATTGTCGAGCTTCCCACCGCGCTACGGCCCGTCGTTTAGAGCAGAAGAGCTTCGGCACGCTTCGCGTGTCTCGTTTTCGTATCAAATCGTGTCGTCGCTCGCTGGTCAGTTCTGAGTCTGATGTGGAGGGTCGCAGACGCGTGGCTCAATCCTTATGCTCGTCCTCACTCCGTATTCGGTAGTGGAAGCCCTTTGCTTCGTAGCGAACGAGACGCTGGCACTCTGTGCAGAGGGTTCGAGGCCAATGGGGCGCCACTGCCATCCACGGAATGACGATCAACTCGTTAAAGGAGAGCAATATTGAGTAGGGTGGAAAGTGTGTGTCGATAATAACTAACCCAGCCTCTACGAACCCTGAACAACGGTTTGCGGGAGGGAAGTAGTATCGCCCCCCGATCTGTGCGACAACTTCTCGTCCGTCCCACTCGCATACACGTGTCTTTTCCTCGTTGTAAGGAAAAGGCCATGTTGATACGGGAGGTACGGGAGGCTGACGCCCGATCGAAGGGCGCTTGTCAGTCCACATGTCAATCAATTGCAAAAACTCCGAGACGTCATCAAGGAGGAATACTCGCGCAATTTCCAATCAATCCTTTCCAACACGAGGGAGAGAGAGAGAAAAGAAAAGAAAAGAAAAAAAACATTCATCAGCTCGATCATCCATGTAACTAAGGGACCGACCCGTGACTCAGGTTTCCGTCAACCACCGCGGTGTTGATCCCAGGCGCCTTATTTTTCGAAGCTGCCCTCTAGACCGGTTGCAGATGTCGTGCAGCATAAGGCAGATCGCATGCGCAGTGCATTCGGAACTACAGATCTAAACACTCTCGCATTCTCAGACAAAATCCCGATGACAATCGTCTAATCAACGCAAAAAAACACATACCTCCATACATACATTCACTGTGGAAGGTGCGAAAATGAGCTATGCACAGGGATAAAAGATGGATCGCTGAATAATACACACACATCCACCGTTCACAAGACACGAAGACGGGGTTTTTGCATAGGGGGACTACCCTGGAAACTAATGGAAGAGTTCCGGACGAAGTTCTTTCACACAGGACTAGCATGTAGACTCATTCCTATTAGAGAGAGAGAAAGAGATTGAGACTCGACATCATTCAAAAATAGAGGAGAGAGAGAGAGAGAGAGAAAGAGGAGGGAGGAGTGTTGAGATAGAGGAGGACAAAAAGTGAGAAGAGGAAGTTCGGCGTTGCCGCCGTATACTCATGATAGAGATAAAGATCTGCAACATTAAAGGCGCATTCGTCGTGGATTCCAATATGGCCCCAAGCCAATCACTCACTAAACTCCAATCATCGATCCTCATACCCGCACCGACGATCCCGGCCATCGCGTGCTAACTCCCACCACTGCAATCGTCATCCCGCTGACGTAAACTCGACGCGATTCGCCCATACCCCACAGTCCGTCGTGGCGATCAAGCGCGCAACCGGCCAGCCTATCGTCAGCCTACAGGACTTTACGACTCGCACCAAACACTCTGCCCAGCCACTGCTTCCCGGAAGCTAGCTTGAGAGTCGAGATCGTAAGAGAGATTTGCGGGCGCGCTTGCGGAATTTATAGCAGCGAGGAGGAAGCCAAGGGAGGGAAAAAAATAGTTACGAGGAGAGAGGAGGAGGAGGGGGAAGGAAAAAGGCGTGCGGGAGAGGGCGATGCGGGGGAGAGAGAGGAGAAAGTTTTTGCATGCGTGGCGCCGTCAACAAAACCAAAAGAAAAAGGCACCGAAACAATTACAGCTCACCTACGTCCTAACCAATTCAAAATTGAAATCACCATATCCATGCGCGAAAGAGCGACGCGGGAAAAAAAAGTCCTACGCCTATTCGTATCCTCACAAAATTCTGAGAGTTTTCCCCAACGTGACCGAGAACATTCACACACAAAAATGACACGTCGAAGTTCCGCCTATCCTGGAATTCCCAACTGTCGGGCCCAATTTCCAGTACGCTCGCTAAGGCGCGTGTGATTTCCTATGCCTTTGCCCACGTGCAAAAAGAAATGAAAGCAAAACTGAAGAATCACAAAAAATTTCTGGAAGATGGGGGCCAATACCGCAGCACCCGAAATCAAGAAACGAAACGGGGTTTTTAGGGGGGTTGGTATGATACAAGCAAAAGAAAGGGTACGAAAGATAGCACAGGTTCAGGAAGTAGTTCGCCACATATGTAACTCGCAGGGGGTTCCAAAAGTATGCGATCTCCTGATTGCATGTTATGGCGGAGAAGGAGAAAGGGAGAGAGAGAACAGAGTGATGCATGAGGAACCAAGTGTCTCAACAGACGATCCAGCCAGAGCCCATGTTGACGCCATCTTCAATTGCTATTATACTGCTGGAATCATTGATGGTCGTCCAAGTGACGGCATCATCGTTCGTGGGTTCTCCGTGTGCTCTGCACCCCAGTTTATTGCTGCTCGTCGAATCAGAGTGTCAGTTGACGTCATTGTCGATGGCGTGATCTTCGCGAAGCTTACTGATTCATGTCGCTTTCCGCTGCTGATTGGATGAAGTGGGGGGGGGGGAATAGTGATGCGATCGGGATCTACCTCCTAGTTGGAATGGGCCAATAGAGGCGGTACATGGAGGGGATCTCTCGGGGACGACGGGGAGGAAGTGGGGGTAGGTAACGATTCATCCCTCGTCACCGGAAGCTCCTCATATCGGATGATCCGGTGGAAGTGAGGGACGCGATCGTCGCTGCGAGGGAGGGAAGCAAGGTAATCGCGATAGAAGGATGAGAGGGTGAAAAGAAGCGCCGCTCGAAAGAACTTGTAGTGGCGGCAGGCGGGATTGTCCCCGTGGCTACGCAGTAAACTTCTACCACGTTGCATCGTTCTCATGCAGCACTGAACAGCAGATATGCCAGCAGAACGTGGGGCAGCGGGCTGAAGGGATGCGTGGGGTTGGACGATAGCGAGTAGGCGGGTAGAGTAAAAGTCGCGGAAGAGATGGGGGAGGAAGGGATGGAGGGGGAAGGTGATGGGGGTGCGGATTTGTTCGAGGGTGAGAAAATCAAGGGGTCGGCGGGATAGCGT